TTCCCGGATGCACAAGAAGACGCTGAAACGCACCCGCAAGTTTGTGGTGGATGGAGTAGAGGTGAGCGTCACCACCTCGAAGATCATCAGTGAGGATGAGAAGAAGGATGAAGAGATGAGATTTCTCAGGCAAGTGGGTCACTGGGGATGGAGGGGAGGGCAGGTCGCCGAACTGGGGCAGGGTTTTCTTCTCTGCAAGCAAATCTACAAGCGATCTAAAGCCCTCTCATTTTCTGTCTTGGTGCTGCTTGGGCAGCACAACTGTCCAGTGTGGACATCACTTCTTTTAGCCTTCCCTTGGCAGAGGGCTTGCTGTACCCCATAAGCTGAGCTCTGTTTGCATGCAGGAGAGCGAGGGATGCATCTCAGGGATAAGATGCAGCAAGGCTGTGATGAGGAAAGCTTGTGCTGTGACTGGCTCTGTCCTCTGGGGACGACTGAATGTGTCTCCAAGGCTGTAGATGTGCTGGCTCAATGGAAATATGCACAGAAATCTTCTCAAGATGCTCCTCTTCCTTTGTTCTTGTATTTCCTCAGACTTCATTAACAGAAAGGCCAAGGGAGTTGTAAACGCCTTGAGCATCACTTTAATATTCATGGGTGTATCTTCGCTGCTTAAGGCTTTATTATTCCTTTGCGGATCTTATAGCTTTCAAACCTCCATGACCTATTCTCAGGAAGAGAAACTGCTGTTTCTAGCTCCACTACTATCAGTAGCAGCACTGAAATGAAAAGGCCCTTCAAATAATTAAAATACAAATTCTTTTACTTGATGCCCTATTCTAGACTTCCTTGTGCTGCTCTGAGGGACTCCCTAAGAATATTATCTACCCCAAGCACTACGTGTCCCTGTGGCAGCCTTATTCATAGGCCCTAACATCAGATCTACGCAGAAGCTCACTAGCTACTCATTTTTGTGCGAGAAGTGCATATAACCCAAATAAAACATGGGAAGCATGTGGACTAGCATACAGAGAATTTCCAGGCACAGCTGCTTTCTCCTGGTCCAGTCTCAGCTCTGGTGGCATCCCTGAAAAGAGGGTCCTTTTTAAATAGTGCCTAATCCATCTGCGAGGTGGGGGAAGAGGCAGAGAGGCTTGGGTTGGAAAGCATCAAGTCCCTGAACACATTTTGGGAGAAGTGGTTATTCCCCTGGGGCTAACTAGCAGGCACAATCAACTCTCCTGGCATCCTGAATTGCACTTTTAAGGGGTTTGTTTCTGGCTCTTTGGAACGTGCCAAGGCATTGATTTGAAGGCAAGATCAGAAGAGAGCACATCATATTGTGCCAGTTGATTTAATGAAGCTTGAGTTTGTTTTGAAAAAGGAAATCGTTCCCAAGTGCTTTTCCCAGGGCGGCCCCCAGAGAGGGTTGTACTCAATGTGTAAGGCTAATGCACGGCAATGGAGGTCACGGTGGGGATCCTGCATGGGGAAACTGCTGCTGTTCCTTTTGTATGGTATGTCAGTGATTTCCAGCTTGATCAGGCACAAATATGGCAGATGGGCTCAAACGCAACTGTCTCAGCAGAGGCTCCCTTTTACTGGATGTGAAGCTGGATGAGGGGAGTGATGCGATGTTGTGGTAGATAGCTCAGAATTTGGGAAAACTGCCCTTTCTGCTACCCAGACACGAGCAGAATGCAGAGCACAGGGGCCAGGCCAGAGCGGCATCAGCTTGGCCTGAACTGTGTTTTGAAAACCAGCGTGCACTAACCCAGCTGGCAGAATGAGTATTTTGGGTGCTGGCTGGGGGAGCGGTGCCTGCAGGATCACCTTAGGAGCTTTGACAGGGCTTGTTTGAGAAGCTATGAATGCTAACAGGCCTTACCTGTGAAAGCTGATGGTTTTCCAACAGTTACCATAATTAGCATCCTGCTTCCTCGCAGTGCTCTGGTGTCAGCTGGCATTTTACCTCCTGCCTGTGCTCAAAGCAAGTGGCAGGGTGCTACAGGATGGCTGTGCAGCTTTCATTCCTCACTGAAGTGCTCTGGTTATTGATTCTGCCATCTCTGTTCAGGCACATGCCTCTGAACTTGTCTGACTCCGTATTTCTCTCTCCCCCTCCATTTTAACCCTCTGCAGGCGGCAAGAGCTGCGGGAGCTGCGTCTCCTTCAGAAGGAGGAGCACCGAAACCAGGCCCAGCTCAACAGCAAACACCACCTGCAGCTGGAGCAGATGCTCAGGCGCTTTGAGCAAGAAATGACGGTACGTGGGCAGGGAAGGGGAAGCTCCTGGGTATCGGCTGGTTTGACTTCTCTGCAGATGCCTTGCAAGCCCTCACGCAAGGTGATGCTCTCTGGGTTGCAGCAGTCTTGGGGCATCATGAGGGAACAGGAGTGCTGAGGAACCTCTTTGGGATTTGAGGCTTGGGATGCGTTTGTGGAGGACAGAGGCTTTTGTGGGCATTAAGGACATGCAGCCTGCAGCTTGGGAAATGCTGCCTGCCATTGCCTGGCAGGGTGTCACGGGGAAAGGGTTGTTCTGGACTTTCCCTCTTCAATGATCTTTTCTTGCATGTCTGTTCACAGCTGCTGTGAGAAACAGTTTACAGTGCTGTTGTATTTCACAGGAAAAAAAAAACACCTGTAAATAAGAAAGCAATGTGGCCAACATGTGACAGTAGGAAACCTGGCAAGTCTTTGAGTGTAAACTGAATAAAGATAAACTGGGCTTACATACTTACTCCTTCCATGGGCAGCTTCCGTTGAAGTAAAATAATTTTATAGATAAGTCCCTTTAAAGCTTTCATGAGCCACCTATTAAATACCCTTTTATTAATTCACCTAGCATGTTAACCTAGCTAGTAACCCCATCCCCTCGCAGCAGGCTGGGAGCCATCACTCATTCATGTGCTCTGTCCTATTTCTACAGTCTTGATGTGGGACGTCTGTGAATTGCTGTCTTAGCAAATCACTTCTCATTTGTGAGACTTATTCACTGTACAGTGCAATGTGCAAAAGCCCCAAACCTGCTTCCTTTACCCTTTCCCTGGGACAGTTTGCAACCTGCTCTCACTGACAACCAGGTACTCCATCGCTGCAGTTCGTGGGGAGGGAGAGATCGGACACGAGGGTGCTGTCAGAGCGCGGTGCCCTCAAACTTGGAAATCCTTGTCTACAGAGAAAGAGTTGTTATGTTTGAGCTTCAGTGCCTGCTAATATTTGCCCAGGGCCATGGGTCCCAGTGGGATGCTGCAGATCAGAACGTAAGCAGGAGAAAGGCTTGAAGTGCACCAGCACTAGAACAAGTTCAAAAATGCTTTGTGCTCATGCTAGGGCTGGTTCTGCCCTGTGTGCTTTGTGGGGGGTTACTTGGAAATTTCTCTCCTCTGTAAAGTTTAGTAAAGAGGCTCACTCCATGCAAAGACACTCCCCGCCCCCTTTTTTTTTTGTTTTGTTAAAGTTTTGGAAGGAAACAAAGTGGAGAGGAGGCTGAGGTTGACCTCTGTTCCCTTCCTATACAGACAAAGAAGAAGTTCTATGACACTGAACTGGAAAACCTCGAACGGCAGCAGAAGCAGCAGATTGAGAAGATGGAACAAGATCACTCGCTGCGCCGGCGGGAGGAGGCCAAGCGCATTCGCCTGGAGCAGGAGCGGGACCATGTCAAATTCCTGGAGCAGCTGAAGCAGATGAAGAAGGAGGTAAAAATGGGGACAGGATGGAGGAAAGCTGGTTTCCTGCATCTGTTTCTTCCAGGAAAGCTTCAGCATTTCTCTATAGCAGAACTTGAGAGAGAAGCAGTTGCTGGTGTTTTAGCAGGAAGCTCTTGCTTTTCTTTGGTATATTTGGGTGTTTCCTGAGGTCCAGCTCTTTGGTTGACACTAGATGGGGTTGTTCTTGGCCTAAAGTTATCTGCTGATAAATCTCATTTCCCTCCCCAAAGGTCAAGAACGAGGTTGAGAAGCTGCCACGGCAACAGCGCAAAGGGAACATGAAGGTGAAGATGGATGACTTCGCCCAGAAGAAACAAACTATGGTAAGGCTGAGAAAAGATTGCCACAACGCCCAAGATTGGGCAGTGCCGAGTAGACAGAAGCATCCTTCCTCCTTGAGGGATTGGCAGTTTCTAAAACATCACCAGATGCTTTTCAAGTTGCGGCAGAACGAGGGCTCATGGTGGTACTGCTGTTTTCTTCCAGGAACAGGAGTTTTTGGCCAAGCAGAAGGAGGACCTGGAGCTAGCCATGAAGAATATAACCGCCCAGAACAAAAAAGAGATCTGCGACAAGGAACGCGACTGCCTGAACAAAAAGCAGCAGCTCATGAGAGGTGGGTGGTAAAGGCTGTAAAGGAGGAAAACAAATGCTGTAACGACGGGTTTATCCAATGCTGGTTCTTCCCACACAACAGATGCTGTGACAGAGTTGCAAGCTGGCAGGATAGGATTTAGAAAAAACAGCCTTGCCAGATCCTGTCTAAATGTTTAACAATAATAATACTTAGCACTTTAATCTTCAAAGTGCTTTACAAATACGAACCAATTAGGCTTCATAATTGCAAGAAATGATTCTCCAATATGGTTTGCAACCAATTTCTCTTGGAAAACAGGAGGTGAATGATCACCTCCCCCCCGTCTGCTGCACTGCTCCTGTGTGTAGGGATCGCTTGTCCTTAGGATGCTTCATGTGACTAAGCTGGGGGGCCAGGGTGAGCTTCTGACCCTTCTCCCTTCCTCAGACCGCGAGGCATGCATCTGGGATCTCGAAGAGCATCAGCAACAGGAGAAACATCAGCTTGTCAAGCAGCAGCTAAAGGACCAGTATTTCCTCCAGAGGCATGAGTTGCTCCGGAAGCATGAGAAGGTGAAGAGTTAGCACCTTCCTATGCGGGTGTTGGTCAGCAGGGTACCTGGGTGTCCGCAAAAGGGATGTTTCCCTTCCAGGCTGTAAGTGGGTAAGGGTGGATTAGGAGTTAAGGGACTTGGTCACGATTAGTGAAAAGGGACCAGAATAATGCTCAGGTCAGCATACTTGGTTGGGACGTGTATTCTGTGCTGCGTGCATTTAACATACAAGAAGAAGTTGTGAATTTTGGGGGCTTTTGTGGAAATCTGTCACTGTTCACTGTGTGGGATGGTGGATTCCCAGAGCAGTGAGTGAAGACTGGCATATCTCACTGTCATTTCTGCTTCCTTCCAGCCTGCTTCTCCTTTGCTTTTGTAGCATGTTCAGTAGCTGCCCTCACCTCTTGTCCCCTTGGAGCTATCTGTCACCAGCCATCTCTGTGCAGCTCCTGAATCCGCGCTCCAGCTCTCTTTTGGTCTCCTCAGCACTTTCTTGTTGGCCTGAGGTGTCTCACCTCCCCTGATACCTGTCCCTCTGCCATTGCAGGAAAGGGAACAAATGCAGCGATACAACCAGCGTATGTTAGAGCAGCTGAAAATTCGGCAGCAGCAGGAGAAAGCCCGGCTCCCCAAAATCCAGCGGAGCGAAGGGAAGACGCGCATGGCCATGTACAAGAAGAGCCTTCACATCCACTCCAGCGGGAGTGCATCTGAGCAGCGGGAGAAGATAAAACAGGTCAGGTCTTGCAAAGGGCACCAGGGTTGAGGCTTGGCTTGGGGGCAAAGTACTTTGCTGGCCTACTGGCAGAAGGGAAGTTGGAAAAAGGCAACTGTTCCCAAATTTCTAACCCACTGCAGGGAGTCAGAGGTCTTTGCTTTTGTGGCATTAGGTGTGGTTTTCAGTGCTGCTTCCATCATGACTAGTGTTGGGAAGCATCCTCAGGGCTTTTCTTTTTTTGCTGTATAATAGCGCAAGCTGGTCAGTCTCTTAACCAACTTCAGAGATCAGAGCAACACTGCCTACACGGGCACCTGCCTTTCTTCCAGTTTGCCCAGCAGGAAGAGAAGAGACAAAAAGCAGAGCGGCTGCACCAGCAGCAGAAGCACGAGACGCAGATGAAGGACATGCAGGCCCAGTGTGAGAGCAACATGAACGAGCTCCAGCAGCTGCAGGTACCCATCCCTCGTGGCTCGGTCTCTGAGCTGCCTGTGCGCTGTTTATGCTCCAGCACAGGGAGTGTGTCAAGAAGCGGCTGCAGAGGACTCTCGGTGAACTAGACCTGATGTCCCTTGCTCTGCCTTGAGAGGTTTTTGGCTGTGTCTAAACGTGCCCTGGAGCTCAGAGCTCTGAATGCCTCTAGCTGATGCAAGTCCTGTTTGACCACTGGATTTACACTCCCAGCGGCTTAATGGGTGTTCTGTTTTCTGACCTGTGTTTAGAATGAAAAATGTCATCTCTTGATTGAGCATGAAACCCAGAAGCTAAAGTCCCTGGATGAGAACCACAACCAGCACATGAAGGAGTGGCGAGACAAGCTGAGGCCACGAAAGAAGGTAGTGCCTGCTTGGCGTGAGCAGGCTGTCCTGCTTGGCTGGTTGGAGGGGGACAGTGTCCATAGCTCCAGTACAATCTCAAATAGAGCTCTTGTCTATGTTCCCTTCTGCTTAAGGCCCTGGAGGATGAGTTGAACCAGAAGAAGCGTGAGCAGGAGATGTTCTTCAAGCTTAGTGAGGAAGCAGATGGACAGACGCCAGCATCTCCAACCAAACACGCCAAGTTCGTCCCATTCAGCTCCGCAGAGAGCTCGTAACACCCCACAGCTGGCAGGACACCAGCTGGTACTTGCTGTGTTCTCCTGGGCTGCAGGTGGGCAACTTGGACTTGGAAGATCCTCTCAGCAGCCTCTTCTTACAACAGTACCCTCCTGTCCCCTTGCTCTGTCAGGAATAAACGTGGCCTCTGTCCTGCACTGGGGGATGCTGACTGGAAGTCTTGGTGGCTTTTCCAGGAGTTGACCCACTCAGCACGGCTCCAGGCTGGGAGGTCGGGCAGGACCCTTTCTGTGATCGTACTTGCACTGTTAGCTGGATGCATCGCCTCTCATGTGAGCCTGGTGCTCACCGGGCTTGTCGGCACAGACTGAAGCAACAACCACCGCTCTGAACAGGAGAAACAGGCCGTGGCTCCTGCCCTCTGCGTGGAGGCTATTGGCCTCTCTCTCCACTGCGCTGCTCCTCCTCCTGGTCCTCTGTAAGGGCTAGTCTGGGGCAGAGCAGCTTTGGCATTGTCTTAGGCTAACCTTGGCCTTGTGGCCCCCCAACACTTGCCTTAGATTTGTTTCTATCTACTGTGTCCCTTTTTTGCTCAAGGGAGAGAGCAAAAAGAGAGACTGATTTGGATTTGGTTTGCCTTGGAGGAGGGAGGGTTGTGCTTTTTTTCTTTCCTCTTCCCGTATGGACCATGCAGAAAGGAGACCGGCTGCACATCCTTCCAAAGATGCTTCTGCTTCTTCATTTGCTGTGATTGCTGGCACCACAGTCCCTCTGGCACCTTGCTTAACACTATCTTATCAGAGACTGGACTATAGCATAATTAAACTGTTCAGCTGGCTGCAGGCATTTGTCTTCTAAAGAAATGTATGTGTATGTGCAGAGAGGAAGGTTTGTAACGGTGCTCAGTCCTGTGGTGACACAGTGATGCGTCGGTCACAGTCATGTGCTTTCTGGTAAGGACAAGTGAGGGGCCAAAGAGTGTTATTGCCAGAGCTGTCATGCTTGAGATTTTTTTTTTCTTTTTTCTTAAGTTCTATATACAGTGTGGGCCAGCCAGCCTGGCCACTCTGCAGTCAGGGTTATGGGCTGCAAAGTGTCATTTGGAAGGAATAAAGGAGTCTTGAAACAAGGGATGCAAGGGAAGAAGAGATGCAAAGACAGGTCATTGTGGCTTGTTACTCTCAGCAGCACTTTCTCCACTGATGTCTCATCTCCTTATGATGTGCCAGTTCCTCGAATGATTCTCCTGGCTTTCAGCTTGGAGTCACGCTGCAGAACAGCAGCAGCTCCAGCCCTCTGTCCTTTCTGCTCCATGGTCAAGTGTCTGGGTTGGACTGCCTTTCTCCACCCGCACAAGGCAGTGCTTGGCTGAGCTGCTGGGCAGGTCCTGGAGCAGAGACCTGGGTAGGAGGGGGACAGAGACCTCACTGGGTAGCACATTCTTAGTTACACAACCAAAAGCTGTAAGGTAGCACTTAAGTTTTTTTCTCTCTGATCTCTGGACAACATTGTTTGGTTTAGGCTTGTGTCCCTAGCAAGAAAAAAATGTTTCTGCTTAAAAAAAAAAAAAAAGCTGTTAATTTAAATCAGTGTATGAGCCTTTAGAGACATACTGGCTTTTCAGGAAGAGGTGGTTATGTGATGTGCGGCACTTCTAGGTACCTAGCTGAAGGAGTCAGACCGCAGGTCTTTAACAGCTCTTTATCTGAGGAGTGCATTTACTACACATTTAGAGTTCATAATCCAGATTTATAAGATTCCTGTGAACTAGCAAGACTACATCCACTTGGGACATTCCAACTTTCTTCTGAAGCCACACCATTAATGTCTCTATTAATAAACATAGCCTAGATGGACATCGAAGGGCTGGGACCCTTTGCAAGCAGACTGCGTAGCAGCTTTTCAGTAACTAGCTTGTCCTCCAAGGAAGACTGCCTGTCCCATCCCCAAAAGCACTGACTGTGCCTTTCAGATATGATAGCGCCAGGCTGGGAGCTGATGTAAAATTAATGAATGCAGAGGGTTGTTCCTGAACCAGGACAATGTGCTGGTTTGAGCCTGTTAATTGCATTAGAAACATGTTATAGCAGCCCCAGTGGTCTTGTTCCTGGTCCCATTGGGGTCAGGCTGGAGCTCTTCTATGAAATGGTGGTTGTCACAGAAATCAGTACCTGGTGCCTGTCCTTCATGTGTTACATGTGACTTGCAGCAGGATGTCCTGCAGCGTGCTGCTCATAACACACCTCCTCCAGCTGAAGGGCATTGCCACCTCTGACTGCTCTCTTCACCAGCTGAGGGGGTGTCAGGTCTTTCTGGGGGCCTTTAAAGAGCTGCTGTGATGACACCATGGTAAATCAGTTGTCCCTTTCTCAAGTCCAGCTTATTTGCAGCCTGGAGCTAGCAACGTAGCTTTCCTTTTGCTAACAGAGGGTGGGAATGCTTTTGTCCCTTGCCCTTTCCCTATTCTCTGTTCCTTCTCCAGGTGTGCCAGGGCTCTACTACCATGTCCCTCTCCTAGAAGAGGGCAGGGGAGCACATCTTCTGACTGTCATGTTTACAGGGTGGTTATATTTCCCCCCTCCCCTTTCAAAAGAGGATGTTTTTGTTATTTCCTGTTCAGAAGGAACCATGAAATGACCCAACTTGTTTTTGAGGGGGGATGGGTTGCCATTTTAAAAAATGTGGCTTTGAATAAACATAGTTTATTTTTTAATATTTTGTAAAGTGTCTTCAGTGGGCCACCGCTCTGATGTAAAGACCCTTCTAATAAAGTAACAGACTGAGAAACCCGGGCACGTGTCTGATTTCCTGCCTGATCACCAGCGGTGGCCTCGCACCAGCTTTGCTTCTAGTTTGGGTTTTGCTGACTTACAGAAACCTCCAGAGCCAGTTCTGGCATGTGAACCTTGCAAGGTTGAACTTCCAGTTCTTTAAAATAGAGCTACTTGCTTCAGAAACACTTCTGCTGCATGCTGCAGCTCAGTGGCAATAACATCTTTGCTAAGCTGAAACTCTGGTAGACCTCAAGTGAAGCAGCAGTTCCCTCGATGGCTTGGTTGTGGGCTAACACGATGCTCGGCTGACGCTGCTTGGTGAAGAGGGAGTATTGCATCCTGTCGTCTGAAGAGTGGAAACTGCTTGTGCAGGGCTTTTTCCTTCCTTTTTAATTAGCTTGCTTGGCTTTAACAGAAGATTTCAGACAAATGCCTTGGCTCCCTTGCTTCGGTGGGACAGGGAGGTCCTAGGGCTGCCTCCCTGTCTCTTTCCACGTATGGATCCTGGGGATGTGTGGTGGGGCCAGGGTACACATCGCATCTTCCCCTGTCAGTGCAGGGGGAGACCTCTGCTTGCTCCCTTGGGTTGTTCAGAAAAGCTCCTACCACCTCTGTAACCAACCACAGGGCCTGTGTGGTCTTGGTTTTCTGCTCAGAGTTCTTTACCGGCCGTTTTAGTTATGATTTCTTCCATCCAGGTACCCTATGCCTAGCAAGGACACACACAGTGTACAAGGGCAGCTTTGACGTGAGTCCAGGGAGCTGGTGTGGTTTTTCTCTTCACTTTTGGAATGTTGCTCCGGAGCCTGCCAACTTCTACCTTGGGTTTCATGCTGGAAATGACATTGCTACCAGCGTCCACGCTGGTTAGGTAATACTGCAGGCTGTGAGTTCAGATATGAGGTGCTGAAAGGGAGAGGGAGTTGGTATTGAAAGTTGTTGCTGGGGGGGTTTAAATGGGCTGCACTGTGGTGAGGGAAGGACAAGAGCAAAGTGCGAGGGTGCCTGTCTCCTTGCTCCATGAGATAGTAAGAAATGAAGCAGCTGAGGACACATAATTGGCCACCTTCTTCATTCATATGTACCAGGACTCTACTGTCTCCTGGGATACACTGGTCAAAAATGGCCTCTCTCAATGTATCCCAGTGAAGCAGAAGATCTCATGGGAGTATTTAACTTCATCTGCATGTCCTCGGTGGTGCCTGAGGGGAGCTTCAACTGTAAGGGTACTTATATTCATAAATATATGTTGAAAGTACTGTGTATTCCAGAAATAACTGTTATCTACCATTCTGCCCTGGTGCAATGCTGAAAACAGAGCAAAAGTAAAAATCTTTTTTAATTTTTAAAACTAGAGATGACAGCCCTGAAAAGTTACTGGTGCTGCAGCAGCTATAGCATTCTCAGCTCTCCTCATTACCTCCTCTGCGCTTTGCATCCGTCCTGTCACGTCTGGGCTCCAAGCTCCTCTGAGCTGCCCAAAGGCTTTTGCAGCATTCCTTCTGTGATGGGGATGATGAAACTCTCTGGGGAAGAGAAAGCAGGGCAGACAGGGAGAGTCATGGAGTTAGGGCTTGTGTCTACCTACCTTCCTCCTATGGCTGCGTCTGCTCTCCCTCCCTCGCTGCAGGAGGACAACTGGAGGTGAGCGCTGCTATAGGAACGTCCTTCAAAAGTCATCTGCACCCTGTTAAGCCAAATGCTGTTGCGTGTTATCCTGCTGCACTGGCCACTGGTTTAATTCTCCAAATGCCAAACTACGCAGGGCTCGAGCGAGACAAGCCTCTCCAGAGTCTGGTGGCTCTGCCTTGCTGATGGGGTTTGCTGTTGCCCCTCTCCTGGGTGGGATGGGGCTGGGCGACAGGGACATGTTGCTCTGGCACCCCACCTGCCCTCACAAGCACCCACTGGGACTCCCCTGGGCCTGGTTTCCAGGCTTGTAAGGGATGGAGGATTGATGTTTGCTCTTCTTTTTCTTGTTCACTAGATGGCACGCAAACTGAAGCAGTGGCCCTGGGCTCCGGAGCTCGGCTGGTGCCTGCACAAAGGCAGAGCCGGAGCTGAGCTGTCCCATTGCACTGAAATGTTTGCTCACTCTTTTTCCTGGATTCATCATTCACTATGGCATACCTTTCACCAGATCTCTGCTTCTCATCGCTGCTTCAGTACTTTGTCTCTTGCTCCAGCATTGTCCTCAGGAGTTTTTTAGGTTTCCCCTGCTCACCAGCACACATGTGCCAGGACAGCCTTCCCCATTTGAGGGCCGAGTATCCCCCCTCCCTGGGGTCTGCTTCTCCCTGCTGCCATACCTCTGTGCAGGATGGGTGCAATCTGCTGCC